GGTGGCGTTTCCGAGAAACATGCGTCTAAATTTGCTCGAAATCGCAAAATACCTTACTTTTCAAAGTCACATAACTTTTTTAGTTTTTGATAGAAACTTGTCGCTGAAGAAACATCTGATAGACAATTCAATTGGCTATTAAACGATATAAAACTTTAACTAAACGACAAGAACCCTGTTGATACATCGCATTTTCCGCGCAGACACCCATTTTTCACAATTTTGTCAAAGTTTGGATACCTTTCTTGACTACTTCCGGTGATTAGGGGATTTTCATTTATAGTTCATGGACTGGTCTGGTCCTTCGACTTCATATTCCTGAAGTTTCAGAAAAATCGTTGGAGCCGTTTTAAAAAAATAAGAACTCTACGATTTGACCAAAATGCGAAAAAAAGTGAAAAATCAAAGTCAATATTTCAGAAAAAAATTTATATTGTTGGAATCGGATTGATGTCAGCTATCCAAAAATATAACTGAAATTTAAAAATTCCCAAAAATAAAAAAATTGAAAAATTTTGAAAATTTTCCATTTTTCACCAAAAAAATTAGAGCGACAAAAGTTCTAATTTCCACAGTTTTGAACTGCTATCTGCTCAGAAATGTCTCCAGCTATCCAAAAATGTAAATATCTGAAGAATCCATTGAGAATTAAGAGAATAATGACCGATTTTCAATTTTCGTGCACGTTAAAGATTTGACGCATTTCCGCTATGCGCACAAACTTGGAAATAGCTTTAAGCAGTAGCTGCACACCACTTTTCCGACAGAAAATCAAATTTCAAACCTCTATCTCTTATAGTTGCTGAGATCTAGCTTCCCCCAAAAAAAAAAATAATAATAATAATAATATTAATCTTAGTAATAACAATAGTCTTTCACCGAAGGTGAAAGCCTAACTAGAATTGCGCGCAATGCTGAAGGCTTTCACGGTCGCAAAGGCGTCACACGATCGCCAGATATATGACAAAAGACTATCCCCACCACTCCCCACCCCCCCAAAAAAAACCCATACTCTAGCATAACTCAGATATTGACCCCTAAACATGCTCCAACTCGTAAAAATACGCTGTTTTCAATTTTCGATCTCTTTTTTGGGCTACCCATGACAATTAGAAAAATTGTACAAGGGTTTCTCACAATACACTACCCAGTAGAATCTCGATTGAGCGAGTTTGAAAGAAATCATTGGCGGCTTCCCCGAGAAAAGTAATTATATAACTGTTAAATTAAACAACGGATAACTCCTACCTCTTAAAATGATTTTTATAATTAGTAAATAATTATTATTATCTAATGATTGTTGTTTTGTGACATATATAGTGTAACCAATATATACATTGTACTTTTATAATCAATATGATACTGTGCATTAGTCGTGTTTCTGTTCTTATGAATTTAATTTCTTCATGCAAAATTTGTAAATCGCCAGTAGGAATAAATGTCTCTTATATAGATACATTATGCTGGCTGGAAATTACACGGTAGGCTAGCCTTGGGGACTGTTTGTAAATTGCCAGTAGGAAGAAATGTTTCTTATATAGATACATTATGCTGGCCGGAATTTGCACGGTAGGCTACAGCCTTTGGGACTGCGCTGTATCATACGGTCTGTTATTGAGTCAACTGGCTGGGTTTCGATTCCCCAGTTGAACGTGACAAGGAGTATGTCGCATGTCTAAACTCGTGTGTTTTCTCCGGATCCTCCGGTTTCCTTCAACTGCTAAAGACCCCTACGCGGAAGCGAATTGTTGAAATAAAAAAAAATAAATCAATGAAATATCGCCAATTTTCTGGTTTCGTGCACGTTAAAGAATTGACGTCACTAATACAGATACAGTTTTTTCCCAAACAACGTCATGCCTTTTATCATAGGTGCAATATTCGATACTACTGTACGATACTACTGCAACCGCTTAACAAATTGGACTTTCTTATAAACAGCGCTAGCCGTCGATTTCTGTCCAGATGATTACCGGTATAAGATAAATTTGACAAAGAAGCAACAATATTAATTCAAAGACTTCTTATTACACACAGCTATCAACTATTTCTGTTACAGGGTCACTAAACACATATTTTGGATAGAAGAAAACACTCATAGTTGAAATAATTTTAGTTCAAATATCATCACTGATAAAAGCACTCTTGAATTGGCTCTATACGTTGACAAAACGTACAGATTGTATCCCCGACTTATGTTTCGCTTACCAATGAAAGGTGCCGTGTTCAATTTTCGATCCCTTTGTTCTGCTACTCCTGAAATTGGGGACTATTGTAAAATCGTTTTATGTATAACCCTACCGATAGGCCTCTCTGTAGAAGAAGTTCCAAAAAAGAATTATGTTGACTTTTCGAGAAATAGGCCTCTAAAAATGCCCCAAATCGTAAAAATACGACGTTTTCGATTTTTGATCTCTGTTTTCGGCTACCCATGACAATTAGAGAAATTGTACAATGTGTTCACAAGATACACTACTCATTAGACTCTCGACTGAGAAAGTTTTAAAAAAATTGTAGGTGGCGTTTCCGAGAAACATGCGTCTAAATTTGCTCGAAATCGCAAAATACCTTACTTTTCAAAGTCACATAACTTTTTTAGTTTTTGATAGAAACTTGTCGCTGAAGAAACATCTGATAGACAATTCAATTGGCTATTAAACGATATAAAACTTTAACTAAACGACAAGAACCCTGTTGATACATCGCATTTTCCGCGCAGACACCCATTTTTCACAATTTTGTCAAAGTTTGGATACCTTTCTTGACTACTTCCGGTGATTAGGGGATTTTCATTTATAGTTCATGGACTGGTCTGGTCCTTCGACTTCATATTCCTGAAGTTTCAGAAAAATCGTTGGAGCCGTTTTAAAAAAATAAGAACTCTACGATTTGACCAAAATGCGAAAAAAAGTGAAAAATCAAAGTCAATATTTCAGAAAAAAATTTATATTGTTGGAATCGGATTGATGTCAGCTATCCAAAAATATAACTGAAATTTAAAAATTCCCAAAAATAAAAAAATTGAAAAATTTTGAAAATTTTCCATTTTTCACCAAAAAAATTAGAGCGACAAAAGTTCTAATTTCCACAGTTTTGAACTGCTATCTGCTCAGAAATGTCTCCAGCTATCCAAAAATGTAAATATCTGAAGTATCGATTGAGAATTAAGAGAATAATGGGCGATTTTCAATTTTCGTGCACGTTAAAGATTTGACTCATTTCCGCTATGCGCACAAACTTGGAAATAGCTTTAAGCAGTAGCTGCACACCACTTTTCCGACAGAAAATCAAATTTCAAACCTCTATCTCTTATAGTTGCTGAGATCTAGCTTCCCCCCCAAAAAAAAATAATAATAATAACTAGATCTGCTAAGCAGATATTAAAGCTTTCATATTCACAGTCACTGTCACATGTCATAGAAATAATATGAACAGAAAAAAAAAATCATTATAATGAGTAAAAATTTGGTGAAGTTAATTCGATTTTTCACTGGTAAATAATTAAATAGACAAGTGGCATAACTTGACCCGCATCCCATCAGCTATCCTGAAAAATGCTGGAAAAATTAAACAAGTAAATTGTGTTTAGTACTGGGTTAATTAAGACAGGCATATGCCTTTGCTATACAGGATGACATGAGGGAAATTTAGCTTGGGAGGTGTAGGCCTGCAGCCAAAATTTCTAGCTAGCTTAGAAACACAACTCCGCTACACGGTCTTCCATAAAAGAAAAACTATACATTTTTGGAAAGCTTATGATGCCAGGAAGACAAAATCTGGGAGTTCCAAGCAAAATGTTTGCAATTTATTGATTTAGGGCCAGATGAAATTCGTCAAAATTGTCAAATAAATGCTATTTATGTACTAACAATTCTGAAGTTGACATAAAATTAAATAGTTGGTAAAACACCTCATGCCTTCATCCTTGGCAATGAACAGTTTATTGGACAGATTTTGATGTAAATAAAAATGCTCAAAACACAAATGTCATGGGTGAATAAAGAATTGTGGAAATCCATTAACGGTAAAAAAGAATTATCTCCCTTTCTGTCAAATGCCTGTAATTGATAGACTATCAGGTCTTGTATGAATCATAAGACCAGGTGTGGGCAAACAAGCCCAATAATTATTTTGTTTGTTGGATCTCAAGGGCCTGTTAGGGTTGGTTGTTGGATGTTTGCTCAGAAATTATCGCTTGTATGGAACATGCTAGAGTCGATTTGTAGCATATTCTAGCCAGGGGATATGTTTGACAGTAGTTGAGTGATATGCTTTTGAAATAATGGAGATCAGTAGCACTTTATAAGCATTGAACCACATGATTTTTTTCCACTAAGATAAACATTCTAAACCCACATACATGTTCCCTTTCAATTAGCCACTACAGTATTTTTACAACTGTAATGTAGCTGTGAACTACTATTTCGGATATGATTAATGGTCAAATTACAAACATACATGTAGATATAAGTTAAAAAAAATAATTGTGTATCTGGGCTGGAATGAAGGGAAAGGTTAGAAAACAGGATGGACAGTTGTGAAATTATTTATTAAAGTGAAACAATCATTGAAAATCAAAATTAAACAGTTACTCTGCACATCAAATGTCATCAAAGTTAATCTTCATTATCATCATCACTGTCACTAAATGTATTAACATCAAATTCGGTCTCTTTAACAGTTTTTTTTTCATTTTCACATTGACTACACATGCACAGGTCTGTACAAGAAAGGGGGGTTGGGATGGCCTAGAGTGCCGCGCTTCGACCTCTAGCTGGTCGGTCACCTCTGGCTTGTGGCTGTGGCTTTGATCCCAGGTGTGAGCGTATGTGGCATGGAGATAGAGGCGTCTTCTCAACCTCGTGGGTTTGCTCCGGGCACTCCGGTTTCTTCTCACTGCTAAAGACCCATACGCGCAAGCGAATTATTGAAATAAAATTGAAACCGTATGTTAGTCCCAAAATGACCTAGTTTGTATTGAGTGGACGTTAAACCCCATTTCTCTCTCTCTCTCTCTGTACAAGACAACTTTGCTGGCCATTTATGATTCTTTCTCTTATGACATCTTCACAGAATATATTGTATGTGGTTTAATATTCGACGGAGGGCTAGTCATCTTTGCTGAAAAATATAAATAAACATATACATGTACACAATTAAAACAAAATTCTGGAGCTTGGTTTACTCTCATTAATTTCGTACAACAGAGGAAAAAGACACTTACACAGGGGTTAACATCTTATTTTCATGCAGAAACCAGCTAATGAAGACAGGAAGGCATTAGCAGTACAAGGAGAGATAGAGAGGAGAATTGCGGTTTAACGTCCACTGGACAAAAACATAGTAATTTCAGGACTCATCCATGGTTCAGTTTTATTTGAATAATACCAGTGGCAAGAAGGCGGAGAATACAAATAAAAAAAACATCACAAATATTTACCTTTCTGATAACTGTCTAAGAAATTCAGTACATGTATATTGCCTATAACATTTTTGGTGATATCTGACCTCAATGGCCACACAATCTTGCCCTCTGATATGCCTTAAAATATCTTCATCCTCTTTCAATTCAGCAGCTTTCAACAGTTGGCCTACAAACAAATTTGCAAACAAATTATACACCATATAGCGTTGAATGTTGTTTGTGCTCAAGGGTGGGGGAGGGAATGTCACTTTGAGGCCTACATGTACATGTACCTGGCTGGTCAACTCTGGCATGCGGTTTAGTTCAGATCCTTTGTGTGAGCGGAAATGGTCTAGAGACAGATCGTCTTAGCAAGGCACCTACAAGTGGGCCAAGAAAATAAAAAACAAGTTAACTTCTCTATGTTTCATCCCTTGTGCAAGCAAATGTGCAACACTTTAACCAATGACTGTGCCAAATCAACAAATGGGGTAAAGGGCTTTAATGGCTAGCTTCATAACAATTTTACAGTGATTGCAGTAGCACTTCTGATTCCATTTACAACAAAAACAACAACACAATAATTAAAAACTGTAGGATGAATATATTTAATATTTATTAGTAATAATTATAAATTTAGTAAGTAACATAATATTAACATTAGGCCTACCTGAGCCTGTTTGGGTCTGAGTCTGTGTTAATACATCCTTCTTCCTATTTTCTCCAACAGTGACAAATCTGTCACGTTTTTTACATATAATACAAACAACAGGCAGCACCGATTTACTCTTTCTTTTTGCTTCAGGAGCGTAATTTGTTTGGAGAGCTAGGTCCCAGATCGTCTACACTCCCGCTATTCCCTGGTTGGATTGTAGCCGGGGATTTTAATTTTTCTTTATCTATACGATTACGGGCAGACCCAATTCGGAATTTGTCTGTAAAAGGCCTGTAGCATGTTGGGTGAAATCCAGTATCTTTTGGCGCGTCGATAAATTCCTTGTTTGATTATATCACCCGAAGTCGCCTGTTCAGCTATCCATTTCGCTCGCCCATCAAGTTTTAGCCATTCATGGGCACATTCACGGAATTTATCCCAGCGAGATTTTGTAAATAATTGTTCTCGTTCCTTTCTAAATCCTTGGTAATGAATAATACAGCGTAAATTTGATTTACGTTACGACAAAGTCTAACACTGTAAGTACCAAATAGTCATACGAGATATGTGCATCTCATCAAATTCAGCTTATACCATACCCACAATAATGTTACGGAGTCAGTGAGTTCAAGTTAGACAATACGCTGACCTTCCACTGACCATGCTTATAATATAAAATCTGTCAATGACAGCTGATTCATTGTTTAGTTTTTTATATGATATATTTAATATCAATAATATATGTATATGCATGCTTTATTTTACTTTACACGACCTCTAAAAATGCCCCAAATCGTAAAAATACGACTTTTTGGATTTCGATCTCCTTTTTTCGGCTACCCCGGACATTTTCAAAAAATGATACAATGATTTCACACAACAGGCCAGCTATTAGCCTCTCGATTGACAAGAGTTTCATCGCCCTCCATTCATTATAACCAATGTTATCGTGCCCTAAAGAATCAACAAATCAGCTTGCTTATCTCTGCTTACCCTAGGCAAAAAATGCTCATCTTTGAACTCAATCATCACATTGACCTAGTGAACGCCTACACCAAGTTTGAACATTCTAGCTTAATTAGAAGGAGAGTTCTTGTGTTCCAAAGTCCCGGCCCTTCAAATTGCTTCTATTTTTCATTTTCAATTCAAAATGGTGACCATCACAAGACCGAAATCAAAATTCTGATCCGATAGATTTTTAGACATTCCTTCCAGGATTTCGAAAATATGACGCCCGAGTATGTAAGTAAAATAGCAAAAAAGCCTTTTTGATTTTTCACGTTTAAAGATGGTGGCACTTCCGGTTCGATCGACAAACTCCATATTTTGTGTACGAATCAGTAATTACTTGTCTAGTATCGAATTTTTTTTTTAGGTCATTCTGACCTATATTTCGACGATTTTTTTGAAAACTTTGATCCTTAATTTCACCAAGGGGAGATAATTTAGAAAATTTCCAAGGACATCATTGAAGTCGCATTGGCAAGATCTACTAACATTCTGAATTTCACGAAAATCGCACAACTATTAAAGAAGTTGTCAAATTGGTAATAACTTCCGGTTCGAAATGACAGCGACGAATTTTCGAAATGCCAAAATCCGAAATTGCAGATTTGAAGTAAATGTTTCAAGATACTCAAAGAAAAAAGAATTAGTAAAATAGGTCAAATAGTCACAAAGTTACAGCATTGTAGGTCAAATGCATTCCTTCGTAAAATTCGGTGATTTCGGATTCGTAAAACGTTTTGAAAATATATTTAATCAACAGCCACCACCCATTTTTGGGGGGATAGGTAAAAGTTTCAGAACGATCCTATGGTTAGATTCTGAGAAATCCGATTTGTGGACAAAACACAAAAAAAAAATAACAATAATAATCTTAACAGAAACAATAAGCTTTCATATGTAATATGAAAGCTTAATAATATTAATCTTAGTAATAACAATAGTCTTTCACCGAAGGTGAAAGCCTAACTAGATCTGCTAAGCAGATATTAAAGCTTTCATATTCACAGTCACTGTCACATGTCATAGAAATAATATGAACAGAAAAAAAAAAATCATTATAATGAGTAAAAATTTGGTGAAGTTAATTCGATTTTTCACTGGTAAATAATTAAAAAGACAAGTGGCATAACTTGACCCGCATCCCATCAGCTATCCTGAAAAATGCTGGAAAAATTAAACAAGTAAATTGTGTTTAGTACTGGGTTAATTAAGACAGGCATATGCCTTTGCTATACAGGATGACATGAGGGAAATTTAGCTTGGGAGGTGTAGGCCTGCAGCCAAAATTTCTAGCTAGCTTAGAAACACAACTCCGCTACACGGTCTTCCATAAAAGAAAAACTATACATTTTTGGAAAGCTTATGATGCCATTAAGTCAACTGGCGTGGTCTCGAATCCCTGGTTGTACGTGGCAAGGAGTAGGGTCACCTGTCCATACTCCTGATTTTCTCCGGGTACTCTGGTTTTCCCCCACTGCTAAAGACCCCTACGCGCAAGCAAATTATTGAAATAAAATTAAACCATATGTTAGTCCCGAAATGACCTTGTTTGTTTTGAGTGGACGTTAAACCCATTTCTCTCTAATTATGTTTTGCATACAATGTATAAATACAAATGTAAAGGATGTAACTTTAAAATAGAAGAAAATCAAATATTTTTAATATTAAACAATTGCTTTGTTCTTATACTTCTACAATCATTCTCATGTTGTTCATTTTGCCATATTTTTGTTTATTCATTCATATGTCTTCTATATAATGATGCATAGTATAGTACACTATGTTAAAAAAATACTAGAAATGTATGTTGTTTTATCACCAAATGATTTATGTAAGTTGTGAAGTAAAACAGTTGAACATTAAATCCCATTTCAATTTATTTGCATGAGGTGAAGAGAAATAATGGTATTGAACAATTGACTATTCATGAAAGATACTAAAAAGAACTTTATTAATTTATACATACTTTTGCTAATTTTATTGTTATATCTTGGTAGTAACATACCAATATAAATAGTAATATTGTTTCTAGATGAAGACTATTATAATTGAAATGAAATGGGATTTCACATCATAATGCTATGCACGGACTGGGCTAATAATGACAAAAAACTACAATGAATACAATAGTATAAAATGTTGCTATGAAATTAAATAAATGTTGTATACAATAATTAACCGGTTTAATACTATATTATACATAAAAGTGAATGAAATTCAATGTTTACTATTTTGCTTTATACATGAATATCACAGGTCAAATTATTGAAATAAATAATGCAAATAGATTATGATTTGAAACATCTTGTATGTCATTGTTCTATTTGTTATATAAGACTACATGATATAAACTTTTTGATAAGCCTCTTTTATCATATTTTGAACCAATGGAATAAAGAGCAAAGACCTAGAATATATTGTAAATATAATCAGGTTTTTGATCAACTGATCAAAGGAAAATATTGCGAATAAATTTGTTGTACTGCTATTGTAAAGAAATCATCATTGTTTTATTTGATATTTAGAATACACATAATCGTGTATATATTTGAAGTTAAGAGCAATTATGATTAGTGATACCTGTATGACCAACTCTCAAAAGATAATCTCATTAAACCAAGTACTTTTTTTCATTTGTATTAGTTGATTTATACTGAATAAAGATAACACAAACAAACAAAAATGAGTTGGCTGTGTGAACACCTCAATGACAAGTGGTATCAGATGCCTCAGAGAGAATATTCAAATGCTCCTTGTGATACGTTTGTAACACAATTATAACCTAATGTATTACACGGGAGTGGAGTGGGTGGGTCGGGGGGCTTTTCGATTGGCAGGGGACTATTAAAATGGGTAAGCAGAGATAAGCAATTTGATGAAACTTTGTGTATAGTTTCATTACATTAGTACCTTGACCATATTACCTTGATAAGCAAAGTCAGGATAAGCAAAGCAACTTGATTGGCCGGGACTTTGAATTGGTTGATGCTTTGGGGTATGATAACTTTGGTTATAATGAAGTACTGGAACATAACAACCCAGCTTTTAATTGAGCTAGAATGTTTAAACTTGGTGTAGATGTTCATCAGGTCTTGACTGAACATTTTGAGCTACAGCTTGGCAATTTCATTGGTCGATGCTTTGGGACAAGATAACCTTGATTTCTATCTGACAGAGAGTGATGAAATTTACAGTATAGTTTGATTGCTCGATACTTTTGAAAAAAATATGAAAGTGCGATTAATTAATGTGTCATCTTTTACTTTGGGGTTTTGGCGGGAGACATCAGCCATACTGTTTGCTTGTTTAATATCCCCTATACAATATACGCTCGACCTCATTACCCGAACTGGGGTAGAAAAGTGGGATCTTTGACAATGAGGCAATGAACTTGTACATTCTTTTGCAGCTGCACAAGAGGGAACATCAACGCCGGATTAACCATGGTGGTGGGGAGGGGGGCTGATACCGACCGTGAAGCCCCGCAAGAGGGTCGGGTCAGGGGGTTCTCCCGCTAAGAAATTTTAATTGGAGGCCGAAAACGTGATTTCATGGCATTTCAGGCACTTGTGTCGGAGCCATTTAGAAGTACCTCCCCCAGAAAAATAAAATTCTGCCACAAAATTAGCCACAATCCATGCGGGTGCTGTGAAATTTCTAGAGGAGGGAGCTGGAACCCATGAGCCCGTTAAATTCGCCACTGTAAATGAGCAGAGCTACATCAAACCTAATTTTGAGTCCCTCAGTGATAAATAACTTGATTCAAAATCGTATTATAGGCCCAACGACGATTTGATGAATGGAGACCGTAACATTACGACAAAGTCTAACACTGTAAGTACCAAATAGTCATACGAGATATGTGCATCTCATCAAATTCAGCTTATACCATACCCACAATAATGTTACGGAGTCAGTGAGTTCAAGTTAGACAATACGCTGACCTTCCACTGACCATGCTTATAATATAAAATCTGTCAATGACAGCTGATTCATTGTTTAGTTTTTTATATGATATATTTAATATCAATAATATATGTATATGCATGCTTTATTTTACTTTACACGACCTCTAAAAATGCCCCAAATCGTAAAAATACGACTTTTTGGATTTCGATCTCCTTTTTTCGGCTACCCCGGACATTTTCAAAAAATGATACAATGATTTCACACAACAGGCCAGCTATTAGCCTCTCGATTGACAAGAGTTTCATCGCCCTCCATTCATTATAACCAATGTCATCGTGCCCTAAAGAATCAACAAATCAGCTTGCTTATCTCGGCTTACCCTAGGCAAAAAATGCTCATCTTTGAACTCAATCATGACATTGACCTAGTGAACGCCTACACCAAGTTTGAACATTCTAGCTTAATTAGAAGGAGAGTTCTTGTGTTCCAAAGTCCCGGCCCTTCAAATTGCTTCTATTTTTCATTTTCAATTCAAAATGGTGACCATCACGTGACCGAAATCATAATTCTGATCCGATAGATTTTTAGACATTCCTTCCAGTATTCCGAAAATATAACACCCGAGTCTGTAAGTAAAATAGCAAAAAAG